ACCATGGTGAACGTAGACAAGACGGCAACGAAGACGGTGGTCGTGGACAAGACGACGACTGAGATGGTGGTCGTGGACAAGACGATGACTGAGACGGTGCTGAACAGGACGAAAACATCGGAGACAAAAATATAATGGTGGTTGGTGACAGTCCTGGACAAGATGAACACATTGTGGACCAAAGTATAATGGTGGTTGGTGATGGTGATGGACAAAAATGGAGGCTGTGGCCGTGGATATGCGGTAGTGGACGAAATCCGAGACGGTGATCGTGGACAAAGAAGGCGATGGTTATTGTCCATAAGGACTACACGTACATTTGGATGATGATATCTTCTTCTATTTCTAAAGTGGACATAAAAATTAACTAATTTCAGTCACATGGACGATAAATAATAGGTAGAGACCAAATCAGGTTTTGAAAGTCTTATGATATTCTCGTCCATCAAAATTTCAAACTCTTAATGTTTCAACAGTTGTCTTTTCCATCAAATTCTCTGATTTTATCCGCTATTCTCGTCCACCAATTAAAGATATTCACGTCCACCAAGTTTCCAAAAATGCCATTATAGAAAAAGTGTTTCCAAATCTACCACATTTTGGTACTGTTCTCACAACAGAAAAGTCGACAATGCATTTGCTAAAGAGAGAATGTGTCTTGCCTTTGTTTATAACTATTTACATTTAAATTAATGTTTTATTAAATAAATTATCTTTAATGAAGCTGTCTGCGATATTCAGTTTTGTCCACCGTCTTCGTCTTGTCTACGACCGTCGACGCTCACCATCGACGCTCACTGTCGCCTTCTTTGTCCACGATCACCGTCTCGGATTTTGTCCACCACCGCCTATCCACGGCCACAACCTCCATTTTTGTCCATCACCATCACCAACCACCATTATAGTTTGGTCCACAATATTTTCATTATGTCCACCACTGTCACCAACCACAATTATATTTTTATCTCTAATGTTTCCGTCCTGTTCACCACCGTCTCAGTCGTCGTCCTGTCCACGATCACTGTCTTCGTCGCCGCCTTGTCTACGATCACCGTCTTGTCCACTACCATGGTTCTTCACC